CAGCCCAGCTTTAGTCGCAGCTCACTGGCTCATGCGGGAATCGAACCGGTGACCTTGTTGCACAGAGCTCATGCTCTTAACCAGTTGAGCCTCTCGGCTGGCCCCAGTACACACCTTTTCATAAGGCAGTAGAGGAAGGCTTCCAAACTCAAGAAATTGATCATCAGAACCTACTTTTTTTTTTTTTTTCTAAGATGCCCCTTTCTCTCCTGCACTGATTTTCCAGCTCCTTGGGCAAGGTCCTGCTCCTTGGGTGTTTGAGTCAACCTCTTGGACCCCAGTCTGTTCCTGGCACTTAGCATATAGGATGGAGAGAGAATTAAGTAAGACTGTGCATGTAACAGGGGGCCTGGGTCCAGGGGAGCATCAGTGAATGAGAGTAATTAGACTGTTATTTATCAGTACTGATTGACAGGGACAGAGTCTCTCAGGCCACCTTCAGATAAAGAGACATGTGTGGAATAGAGAACCCATGCTGCTCTGCTTGTTGGCTTCTGTCTCTGTCTCTGGGAGCTCATGGGCTCCATGCTCCCTCTTATTCCATTCCTGCTTTTTTCTGAGCATCAGCCCTGTTGTCTTCCTCCAAATCGTTCCCTATTCTATTCAGTATCTTGTTTCCACCTCCTGACTTTTGCTTACTCCTGGGTCATAGTCATGATCCTTCATGATGTCAGCCCTAGCCCAAATCTATCTTATGGTTTCCGTGATTTGTCAGGATGCACGAAACAAAATTCACCATTTGAAACTGTACAATTCAGTGGCATTTAGTACATTTGTAATGTTGTGCAAACATCGCTTCTGTCTAAATAGAAAACACTTACCTCACCACTGAAAGAAACCTGTCCCTGGTAAGCAGTCGCTCTCTCTTCCCCGCTTCCCCAATCCCCCGGAAACCACTAGCTTACTTCCTGTTTATGGACTCACCTACTCCAGACATTTCATGTGAATGCAACCACACGATATGTGACATTTTGTGCCTGGCTTCTTTCACTTAGTGTAATGCTTTAGAGGTTCATTCACGTAGCAATGTGTATCAGTACTTCCTTTTTATGGCCAATTCTTACCCGTGGTCCGCCATGACCCCTTCGGAGCCCTGACTGTAACTCGTGGCTTCTGCTCACGCATAGCTTTGGTTTCTTCGTAACATGACCTTTTGTGGCCTCTCGCTATATATACTTCTAGTCTCAGCTTCCTGCTGCCCCATGCGTAGCATTTCCCAGTTAATTTCCTGAGGGAGAGAATCTGATTGGCCTGGCTCATCTTCTCCGCCAGGTCCCACAGTGATGGCCTACTGGCCTGTCTTGCATCGTCCAGATCTAGCCTCCACCAGCACGCCTCCACTTGATGACAATGAGCATCCTAGCTGGGTCAAGGACAGGGTGGTTTCAGATAGAAGGCGGGGGCAGGTGTCATCACTGACACTTCCTGTCAGATCAGCCAGTGTCTCCAGCGCTTCCTTGTTGGATGACCTGGGGCAGGTCGTGTTCTCTCTCGGAACCTCCACTTTGACATGGCAATAATAACAATGATCCCTATGTCATGGGGATACTGGTGTAGAGCACCCCCTGCAGGGCCCGGCTCTCAGGAAGTCGGGCTCCATCTTCTCTGCTCCTGGGTTGGCATGGAGCATAAGGTGCAGAAAGAACTGTGAGTCCTAATCCCTGAGGGGCTACCACCAGAGGCTAGAGGGGTTTGTGAGGCTGGGGCTGGTCACTGGTGCCAGGGGAGGCTTCCCACCAAGGAGGGTTGACCTGAGCAAGCCTTCAAGGACTTTGAATAGAGCAGGAAGCTGGTGCTCTGGATGGAGACAACCAAGGCTGGCAAAGGTGTGGAGGTGGGAGCTAGAATGGTCCATGGGAAGGCACCTGAGGAGCCTGGCCTGCTGTTCCCCCAGCCTAAGGATCCCCTGACTTTGGATCCTGTAACCTGTGAAGTAGGCTTGGGGCACGATGAATTTACAGTTGGCTGCACTACGATTAAAAGCTTAGAAGCTACATTTTCAGATGAGCGGGTCGGGAGTGGGGTTCAGTGAATGAGGCTTCTAGGGTGTCCCCAATGTCCTAACAGGGTGTGTGCTCAAGAGCTGGTGATGTCACCTAACTATCCAACGAGTCCCTGAATGGTTCGAGCCTCTTATATTTCTATCCACACAACCCCCAAACTCCAGCACAGTTACTTTATCACCTGGGTCTCCCCTTCGGAGTCAGTACAATCTGTAACTGCTTTCATCACCGTCTTCCCTCCTGTTCCACAAGCTACATAATAATGCCCCAGCCTCCCAGATGCCCTGTGCACTGTTAACCAAAGAAGACGTTCATTTATTTGAGCAAAAGGATTGCAATCTAGAGATACAGATACAGGCAGCAATGGGAACTGGGCTTTGGAAGGAACAAAGAAAGGCAGGTTTACAAGGGCAAAACCCACAAAGTGTAATTCTTTCATGCACAGGAAAGATGGCTGGGTTAGTTCCAATATGCAAACCAGGGGGGGGCGAAAACCACAAGGTGATCAAGTTTCACATAACCCATGTAGCAGCTGTTGTTCCAGATGTTTATGGCTCCAGGCTGTTTTAAGGCTCTGCCTCAAGCTGAGTTTAGCAACAGGTTTAGCAATTGATAGCAGTCCTGAGAACTAAGGCAGGAGATGGGCACCCGCCCCACTTCCCTGATTAGCCTCCCAACTGGAATTTAAGTGACTCTCTTAGCAATGCTTATTCCATTTGATTGTTTCCATTATCAGCATGTATTGCAGCAGTGACTCCTCTCCCTTCTTTACATGGCCCAGCACCCCCCAGGCCCTGACTCTGCCCTATCCTCACCTACCTCTAGGAACACAGAAAGTTTTCTGCCTTTTATGGCCTCAGGGTAACTGCAACCTGATTCTTCCCCAACCCTGGCAACCCAGGCTGACTCTGCCCCATCCACACCCCAACCCAGGCTGACCCCGCCCATCCCTGGGACCTGAGGCCAACCCCAATTCAACCTCCAATCTCCCTGACCTGGGCTGACCTCCTCCAGGGAGGAGGCGAAGACCAAGATGGTAATGCTGCGGGAGAGAGCGGACAAGGAGGTGGCCCAGAACGAGACGGAGGTGCAGACCTTGCAGCGGCAGATAGCGCACCTGGAGAACCTACACCACTTCCTCAAACTCAAGAATCACGATAGGCATCCGGACCCGGCCATCGTGGAGAAGCGCGAGAAACGGGGTGAGGCCCGGGTCGCCACTTTCGCATCCTACAGGCCAGGCCGCCAGAGAGGGCGCAGCGCCTGGCTCCGAGTCTCACAGCACCCGAGCCGGGGCCGGCCTGCAGGGGGCGCTGGAGAGCGCGGGGTCTGCACCGCCTGGCAGCGCCAGCGCCGCCCTAGTGCAGCCGGCCCTCGTGGTCGGCGGGCGCAGTAGCCTTGGCTTTCCCCACCGCCCTCCACTCCTGAGGCCCCTCTGTCGCCGACCTCACCACCGCCTGTCCCCCAGCCCGGAAGGTGGCCGAGGGCCTCCGGAAGACTTCCCAGGAGAAGCTGGTGCTGAGCTACGAGGACACCCTGAATAAACTGTCCCAGCTGACCGGGGAGAGGGACCCGGACCTGCTGGTGGAGAAGTACCTAGAGAGTGAGTGCCTGCGCGGGGGAGAAGGCCGGGGCGCGGCCCCCAGCGCCCGAATCAGTGCACACTGTGCTCCATCGCGGTCCCCGAGGGCCCTGGAGACACAACCCGCGCGGGAGAACAGGGAATCGGGCTCGCTCCACACACCTCTTACTGCCGGCCTCTCCTCTGCCCCCTTTCGCCCCACCCCCCATCTCGCTCCCACCCGTCTCCACCTTCTTCCCCCATCCTTCTGTTTGCCTCCCTCCACTCTGCATCTCTTGGTCCTCTTCGGAATGTCTGTATCTCCGTCTTTTTCTTTCTGTCCGATTTCACTGGGCGCATCTGTCTCCTGTCTCCCCCATCTCCCTTTCCCCTTTCCTCCTCCCCGCTCTCAATCCTGGGCCTGAGGGTCACTCTTCAAATCTTCCCTCCACTCTGTGTTTCTCTCTCTGTGTCCCCATTGCCTTCTGTCTCTGGTTCTGTCGTTGCCCACTTCCACGGTTTTCTGTTTTCTCTCACTCACTTCTCTCCCTCTCCCTCTCCTTCTCCCCCCTCCCCATCCCTCGGTATTTTTGGGTCTCTTCGTGACTTCCTATTGCTCTCTTTCACTCGCACTTGCTCTGTGTTTCTCTGTGCCCCTTTCACTGCCTTTATCTCTCTGTCTCCGTCTCCTCTGCCTTTGTTTCTGTGTTGTCTTTCTAAACACCTCTTTCTCTGTCCTTCCTTGTGCCTCTCTGTCTCTGTTTTTCTGTGCACATCTCCCTGGACCCTGCCTTTCCCCCACTCTCCTCCAGTGGAGGAGCGCAACTTTGCCGAGTTTAACTTCATCAATGAGCAGAACTCGGAGCTGGAGCATCTGCAGGAGGAGATCAAGGAGGTGAGTGAGACCCGCCCCATCCTCCCAGCCCTACCCACGTTCCTCGACCTGCACCCATCTCCTCCTCTGCTGGAGCTGGGCCCAGCCTTTCGCCCCTGCCTGGCAGATGCAGGAGGCCATGGAGAGCATGCGCACCAGAGAAGCTACCCGGCAGTCACTGCAAGAGCAGCAGCGGGCGGTGTTGCAGCAACGCATGGCAGAAGTGCACACAGAAGCAGACAACCTCGAGGCCCTCTCCCAGAAATTACAGGGGCAGCTGGAGAAGCTCAAGGCCGGTGAGCGCCAGACCCATTTTATCTGGGAGGATGTGATGAGCTCGCAGAGGGCCCAGACCCAGGCCAGCCACTTGGAGGCATTTCACTGATGATTTTGTGCACTTGTCAGTCCTTCCCATATCCATCATCCATTCACCCATCCATCCACCCATCATCCATTCACCATCCACTAAGCCAACCTCCCCATATCCATCCATCCACCATCCATTAAGCCAACCTCCCCATATCCATCCATCCACCATCCATTAAGCCAACCTCCCCATATCCATCCATCCATCAATCCAACCATCCCATATCCATGATCCATCCACCCATCAATCCACCCATTAATCCCATATCCATCACCCATCCAGTATCCATCCATCCATCCATCATCCATCATCTATCCACCATCCATTAATCAAACCACCCCATATCCATCACCCATCCAGTATCCATCCATCCATCCTGTATCCTCCATCATCCTTCCAGTGCAGAGCTCAAGAGTCAGGCTGCCGTGGGTTTGAATCCCAGCTCCACCATTTATGAACCTTGGTGTGTGGTTCCCTGTCTGAGCCCCTCTGGAAATGGGATGGCAGTGCACATTTGATAGGATGGTCATGAGAATTAAATGGGATGATGAATGGAAAGCTAAAGGTGGAGAGAGAAAGGAAGGAGGCTGTGGGGGTGGGGAGGAAGCAGGAGTGCCACCTTGTGGAGCACAGTAGGAGCTCAAATATTGGCGGATTCANGAAGTGGTATTGTGTCCTTTGTGTACACTGTATCAGGAGGCACATGATGTCAGTGTGTCCCATAACCAGTGATGTTGACTTTGGTCCCTTGGTTAGCCAGGTTTCTTCGATATAGAGTTTTCCTGTTTATAAAGAATAAGTAGTCTGGGGAGATTCTTGGAGACTATGTAAATCCTTTTCCTGACACACTGTCACTCTATTGTTTCAACATCTGTGAATGATTTTCGCCTGAATAATTATTACTATAATGGCTGCCACTTGGTTATTTTCCAACTCAATCATTTCTTCTGCATTTATCAGATGGCAGTTTACTTAAGGAGGAGCTTCATATCTCCCCTGTATATTTATGTGTTATCAGTAAGCATTCTTGTATTCTTACTTTATTTTTTGGGTCATAATCCATAGTGGTAATTATTCATTATGATGTTCAAATTGTCCCAGATTTAGCTAGTGGGAGCCCCTCAAAGCTGGTTTCTATGTCCTTTCTATAGGCCCACCATCTTTTTGAGCACTTCCTTACTTTCTGGCTCAGGAAGATACTCCAGGTTTTCTTATATGTGTTCTGTCGAGTCAGCTGTTTCTTCAAGGAGTTCTGGTTCTTACTAGTGGGGAGAAGGTGTTGAGAAACCAAAATACAGGCACTAAGAGTCCTCATTGCTACTGGGGTGTCATTGCTTTGAGGTCCTTTCTTTGGAGACAGCTAGGAAATATACACATATTTTAAAGTCATGAGTTCATGTTGACACCTCTAACTCCAATCCAGCATCACTGTATATTCCGGAACATTTCCCATTTCTTCTCTATATTTTTCTTCTCCTACAGCGGGAACCCAACAGCATCAATATACCTACTCATTTGCTCAGTCCTACAGCACACACACACACACACACACACGAGTTTCAGAATTGCTACAGCTGTACACCACCCCTCGAACTTAAGGGTATGAGGATGGACTTATCTATGCAAATTTTGTATTTGGAAGTCACTTGGATTAGCTCTTTTTTGTTGTTGTTGTCTTCTATGTGGTTATGTGTGAAATACAGTTAGGTTCATTTGCTTCTGTTTGTATCTAGTTTTAGTTCTCTCCTCTACTTAATTTTCTTTATGACTATGTAAACCATTAACAGTGTTCCCAGATCAAAAGTATTCCAACAGATATCCTAGAGAAAAGCCATTTCCTCACCACCTCTTCTACTTTGTTCCCACCCAGCCCCTGTAGTTTCTGGTTATCCATCCTGGGTTTGTTTTTGCAAAAGTAAATGTTTGTGTGTGTGCGTGTGTGTATATGCATACACAATGTATATGTCTACATTATGGATATGTGCATATATACACATATGTGTGTATGCATGTGTATATATATGTGTGTATATGTATATTGTATATTCATTAGTATATATACACATTATATGTATATAAAAACATATATACACTTTCCTCCTTTATTTTCCTAAAAGAACCCTTTTTACCCATAAACTGCAAAGACATTTTCGTGGAACTAGAAAACAGTTGAGT